CTTAAAACAAAGAATAATAGAAGCCAACAATAGTAACTATCCACTTGATGCACCGCATCTTTTTACAGAGAATGAAAAAGTAAATAAGTTTAATGGTAGAGCACACCGTAGCATATCTGGTACTAAGTATATAATTAAAGCACATGACAGTGTCATAGGAGCTACATCTACTGAACTAAGAGATAAAATAATGAAGCAAATACCTAACCTAGAACCAAAAAAACATTAAACAGCTGCATTACAATCCAAATCTTGCAGTTGAAGAAAGAACAGAAATATCACTGAATACAAGAATTGATGGTGGCATGACAAATGGTGCTAGTAATGTAATTAAACTGATTCAACTTCATGCGCCAGACAGACCATCTGGTGTCATCTGGGTCCAATTTGACCATGCTGATGTAGGTAGAAAAACCAGACATGATAACAGACAATTGTATACCCAAGGCATCGAGCCTACTTGGACATCTATCAAACCTGTTACCGCAGTGTTTGCAGTTGGTAAAAATCGAACTGTTCAAGTTGTAAGAAAACAGTTTCCACTTAGACCTGCTGCTGCCTAAACAATTCATAGATCACAAGGTGACACAGAAACCAGAGTTGTGGTTAACTTTGGAACTAGACGAAGAGCAATTCCTCATATGCATTATGTTGGGCTCAGCAGAGTAACAACTATAGAGGGACTGTCCAACACTGAACTCTGTGAAGACAAAATAACTGTTAGCTCAGAAGTTGAGAAACATATGAAATATATTAGAACAGAGGGCAAACTTGAACTACGCATTTCACCTGTCTACAATGCTGATGAGAGAGCTATAAAAGTGTGTTTCTTGAATGTACGTTCTTTGCATAAACATATTGATGATGTGCATGCAGACTTAAACTACCTAAAAACAGACATCAATGTTTTTTCTGAAACACGTTTCAGTAATGCTGATAGCAATACCATGTATCAAATTGGACAGTGTAATTTAGTTAGAAATGATGATATTTGTAATGATAATGGTCGTCCATATGGTGGGACAGCAGTGTATAGTAGCATTGATTATTACCCTAGCTATCCATTCTGCTGTAATAGAAGTGGAAGAGAAATAATTGCAATCAGATTAATGGTTATTCCTCATATAACAATTATAGGAATATACCGCTCTCCTAGAGTGCCAGTTAGTCAATTCTGCACTGCTCTAAGGCAAACACTCATGCTATCTTCAACTAAGTTTAATGTGTTTATTTGAGACTTCAATATCAATTGGCTCAATGAATATCAACGAAGACCACTTTTTGATCTCTTTGTCAAGGATAACAACTAGTGTCCTGTTATACAACAGATAATAAGACTTGTATTGATCATGTATATACAAATTTGCCTGAAACACATGTGAATGTCAATATATTAGAAACATATTTCTCTGATCATAAAGGAATTTGTGCAGTAATTAGCTGCTTCAGCTAAATAATAAATTGGCTCCTTAAGTTCCCATAGTGGCCAACATAGCATTCGAAACAATTAAACTAACTCTAAGCAACTAAAAGCATATAATTGTATTGTTAATTGTTTTAACTTAACAGATCAATATATATATGTAATATAATTATGTGATCTTGTTTTAACTTAACAGATCAATAGAGATACTGCCAACATGTCTCAGTCATCGGACTCATCACCAAAGTAAGTATACCTTTAACAATGCTTTTTTTTTTCATGTGTAAGATGTTTATATGGAGTCTTGTTTTTCAATCATTATAAGATAATTTACATGTGCCTATTCTTCTCTTTTCCAGAAAAAATTATCAAGAGTCCAAATCTACATGTAAGTAACCACAGTATTTCATTCAATACTTTTTTGCCTAACAAACAACTACATACCGGTTACTCTGGACCACAGTAACACTTTTATTTAATACTTATAGTATTTAGTACTTATTCAAATTTAAATGAATTCTAAACTAGTAGTGGTAACTTTAAAAGTCCACGTCAGTCTTACACTTAGTTTGATACTTAGCGAAGACCACTATACAATAGCAATTCCAGTAATGAAGGTTTTGTTAATTATTTCACTAAGTGAGATTGCATTCTAGTCTCACATTGCATACTCTGGGCAGAGACTTAATATCACTAATGCTTCAAAGTAATTGAATGCATACTTCTTTTCCAATCTAATAACTGCTTAACTTTCAATTTTCAGCTCTTGAAGGACTGCATCAAATGGAACAACAAATTACTTTGACCTCAAGCTCCAGACGTCTGACGATAAAACTGTTCGCCTTGTTTGTTTTTCACCACCAAAACGGAGCGTTCTTCTAACTGCATATGAAAAAAGATCACCAGTTAAAATAGCAGCCAACTTGAACCCTAAAAAACGACTTAACAGCGACTTAGAAGAGTACACAGTTCCTAAGAGTGCTAAAATAATGCCAACTGAGCTAAAGTTCAACTTCAATGAGAATCTTGACAATCATTTACATGCAGTCAGTCAAGCAC